TAAAAAGAAATTAAGCTCACCCATCATACTCATTTCAAATTCACTCCCCATTAGTTTAGCAAAGTTTTTACTTAACTTATCAGCCGTTGTTCCAAAATTTATATCATCAACATATATCTGAACTACCAAGAGACTTTACCCTTTTCTTTCAAGAATAATGCATTGTTAATTTTACCTCTCTAGTAGCCATGCTCAAGAATTTTTTTTAATAATCTTTCATACCATGCTCTTGGAGCTTGCTTTAGCCCATAAAGTGCTCTGTCAAGCTCGTACACATGATCAGGACATTCCTTGCTTTCAAAGCCCGAAGGTTGCTTAACAAACACTTCTTCCTTTAGATAGCCATTGAGGAAGTCACTTTTGACATCCATCTGATGAAGAGTGAATTCTATGTAAGCAACAAAGGCTATAAGGAGTCTAATTGCTTCCAATCTTGCAACAGGAGCAAAGGTCTCATCATAGTCTATGCCCTCCCCTTGACTATATCCTTGAATCACCAATCTTGCTTTGTTTTTTGTAACTGTTCCATCTTCATCATGTTTGTTTTTGAAGACCCATTTTGTGCCAATCACTAAGTCCTTGGAGACTAGTTTATTGAGTTGACTTAGAATAGCATGTCCAAGTCTCTTGTGTCAAAGGAGGGGATCATTATCCAACACACTTAAGCAAGTGAGTTCATTTTCTGAAAGGGTGGACAGATCTACAACATAAAAATCACAAAACATTTGGTAGAGGTGAATGCTACCATTTTACCTCTATCACGCAATTGTGATACACTTCTTAGACTGTACTTCAGTCCATCTATCAAGTAGACATTCTCAATAGAGTGAGAATCAGTCTTACCTACCTTTCCAACCCCAATGATCTCACCTTTCTTCCCATTTCCAAAGGAGACATTACCTCCTTTAAGGTCCTCAAGTGAAAGGAACAGGTTCTTGTTTCCTGTCATATGCTTTGAGCAGCCAATATCCATGTATCATATTTGACTGCTCCCCTTCACTTAAACCTGCAAAAGGAAATCAGAGGTTAGTCTTAGGAACCCAAACTAGTTTGGGTCCCTTTCTATAGGCAAAAGGATGAATCAAATTCTTTTTAGCCCAACTTGGTAGCCTATTCTGCCCTTGAACAAATTCTTTCTTCTTTTGACTTGCCTTTTCTTTTGCAGTGCATTCACTTTTATAGTGACCTATTTTACCACAGTGTGTGCAAATCTTGTTCTCAGAAAGTGTGAGGTACTTGATTTTGTGATCCCATTAAGGTGCCAGATTCCCAAAGCCAAGTCTTCTTCTGTTGCTACTATGGTATTCCTATAACATGAAAGTGCATCGGAGGACCTGTTCCATTTACAAATTCTGTCTAGCTCATGATTGACCTTGCTTAGATCGTCCTTTAGGATTCTCACTAGCTCATCCCTTTAATACAACTTATCTTTCATTTTTCCTACATTTGCTTCTAGAGTGAGTTGTGTGTGATCAATTATCTTTTTACCTGTTCCTAATTTTAGTTTTAGATTTTCAGATCTATGTTCTAGAATAGTTGGGTCAAGTGGATGAACCTGGTGCTTCAATATAGTATTTTCACTTACAGTCTCACTAGCCGTAAGTTTCAGGTTTTTGCACTTAGCCTTCAAAATTACACATTCTTTAGACAATTGTTCTTTTTCATTGTTTACATCCTCAGATTCATCAATTAGTTNCTTCAATACAGTATTTTCACTTACAGTCTCACTAGCCGTAAGTTTCAGGTTTTTGCACTTAGCCTTCAAAATTACACATTCTTTAGACAATTGTTCTTTTTCATTGTTTACATCCTCAGATTCATCAATTAGTTCTAGAAGTAACTTAGATAACCTTTCTTTAGACAATAATTTAATCTTGTCTTTGAAATGAATTATACTTACCTCAGTTTCTTCATCATATTCTCCAATGGCCATAAGTGCTTGTTCATCCCCATCATCATCTGAGCTTTCATCTGATATTTCTCCCCAAGCAGCCACCATAGCCTTGGTTGATCCTTTGCTTTTCTTGGGTTGAACCTGTTCCTTCTTCCTGTTCCTTCGTTTAGCTCTTTCCTTCTTCCATTCACTTTTCCATTGAGGACAGTTCTTGATGTGGTGATCAGTCTTTCCAAACTTGTAGCATCCATCATTGGTTTGCTTCTCAAGAACTTTTGACTTACTATAGCTTCCACTTCTTGAAGGACCCTTTCCTCTCCTCAGGTACTTTTTGAAGTCCTCGATGATCATAGCCATTTCGTCATCATCCAGATCAGAACCTTCAGTGATTCTGAGTGCCAGACTCCTTTCATTCTTAGGTACATACATTTTCATGTTTTGTCTCCTAAGTTCATAGGCAGTAAGATTTTTAATTAATTCATTCAGTGGGAGAGTGGCAATGTTCTTTGATTCCTGAATGACAGTGATTTTAATTTCCCAAGTAATAGGCATGACCCTTGTCAATATCTTCTCGACTCTATATTCTTCATGAATAATCCTTCCAAGAGATTTTAGTTCATTTGTCAATGTAGTGAACCTTGTGTATATCTTTTGAATGGTTTCTCCTTCCTTCATAGTAAAGTTCTCATATTGAGAATACAGTAAAGTTTCTCTGGATCTCTTCACCTGAGGTGTTCCTTCATTATCCACTTGCAGAGTATCCTAGATTTCCTTAGCAGCGGTACAACTTTGGATTCTGATATACTCATCTGGACCAAGTCCACAAACAAGCCAGTCCTTGGCATTAGCGTTCTTCTCCCATTTCTTCAAGTCCTCAGCAGTGCAATCAGCTCTTGTCTTTGGCACCTCTACTCCTTCGGCATTTCTCTTCAAGGTAGTCAGTGGAACATTGGTGACAATGTCCCATAGCTCATAGTCCTCTCCTATAATGTGATCTTTCATCCTGTTTTTTCACCAAGAGCAGTACTGGCCATTAAAGAGTGGTGGCCTAGCAGTGGATTGCCCTTTCCAGTTTTCAGGTGGTGCACTCATCTTGATCTTCTTCTCAGGTGTTAGCCTCTTCAAGGATAACCCGCTCTAATACCAATTGATGTTTTATTCTTCAATACCACACAAGGGGGGGTGATTTGTGTGGTGTCCAATTTTCGCGTGCATTGATTATAGAAGGACCTGGTTCTTCTAAGTATTCCTTATACTACTATTACGAAAATAGTAAAATACGAAAAGAAAAGAACACAAGTATTTTTACGTGAAAACTACCCGGCTCAAAAGGTGAACAAATCACGAACTACTAATCAGTAGAATGTTTCCCAACACTTCACTAAATCATTGAGCCAAAACAGCATTTACAAAACTCTTTGTAAACCTA